ATTCCTTCTTTGATGCTCTTCCTTTCTTCATATAGATACAAGTTTCTGACCTATACTACTTACCTTCTCTCTAAAGAACTTTTTTAAGTACTTCTTGAAAGGCATGTGTACTAGGTACAAATTCCCTCAATTTTTATTCATCTGAGAAAATCTTTATTTCTCCTTCATCTTGAATTTCACAGACTATAGAATTCTAGGTTGGTATTTCATTTTTCTCAATACTCTATTTCACTCCACTCACTTTTGCTTGCATGGTTTCTGAGAAGTTAGGTGTATTTCTTATCTTTGCTCCTCTAAAGGGAAGCTGTTTTTTTTTTTCCTGTGCCTTCTTTCAGGATTTTTTCTTTACCTTTGATTTTCCATAGTTTGAAGATGATATGCCTAAGTATTGTTTTTTTGTTTTTTGTTTTTGTATTTACCCTGCTTGTTCTCTGGATTTCCTGGAGCCGCAATTTTTTTTTTTTTTTAATCTGACATTAAGTGGGGAAATTCTTAGTCATTCTTATTTCAAATATTTCTTCTGTTCCTTTCTCTTTCTTTTTCTTCTGCTGTTCCCATTACACATGTATTACTGCTTTTGTATGTAGTTGTCCCACAGACCTTAGATACTCTGTTCTGTTGTAGCAGTCTTAGTTCTCTTTGCTTCTCAGTTTTTGAGAAATCTATTGACATACTGCCTAGCTTAAGAGTCTTTCCTCAGCCATGTTCAGTCTACTTATAAGCCCACCAAGGCATTCTTTATTTGTTACAGTGTTTCATTACCTCTAGCTTTTCTTTTTATTTCTTTCTTAGGATCTCTCTGTTTACATTGCCCATCTGTTCTTGCATGCTGTCTAGTTTATCAATTAGAGCTCTTACCACATTACTCATAGTTGTTTTAAATTCCCAGTCTAACTCCAAACCCTTGTCACAGGCTGTTTACTTTGTCTCTTCAAATTGTTTTTTCCTCTTGGTATACTGTTTAATTTTTTTTGGGGGGGGGGGGGGGCGTAGCTGGACATGAGGAACAGAGTAAAAGAAACGCTGTAATAGGCCTGTAGTAATGTGTAATGAGGTGTGGGGGGAGAGGAAGCGTTCCATAGTCCTTAAGTGAGCCTGTGCCTCTGGGCTCTGAACTCCACCAACACAGCTCCGTTATTTTTCTTCCCCCACAGTACAGACAGGGTGGCTGCAGTGAGCTGGAGTTGGGTATCCCCCTTACCAGGTCAGTGAGGCTCTAACAGTACCCTAGCAGGTAGGTTCCAGTTAACTAGCTTCCCCTGAGAACAAGTGTTGTCAAGAATAGTATACTCTGGCATATTCCAAAACAGTTCCTTTTCACCTCCTCTACCAGAAGCCTGAGGAGACTCTCTCCTCTATTTCATATGGGAACATGGTCAAGCTTCTGGAGGTAAATTTCGCAGCATTACTTGGTGCACCACTCCCCACCCCCATGACTAGGTTCCTCTGATGTTTTTAACTCTCGCCGTTGCCCACCCTGAGCCTCCCACCATTCATCAGTCACGGGTCAGGTTTCCAAGCCTGGCCCCGGTTCCTGCAGCGGCTTCTGCCCCAGTCTCTGATCTGGGAAGCAGTGACTCCCTGTATTCACCGGCTCTCCAGTCTTGGGGGTAGCAATGCGCCCTGTGTCTTCCCCTTTCTTATGGATCCAGAATGAATTGTGGATATTTCAGTCTGCTCGGCTTTTTACTTGTCACAACACCGTGACAACTTCCAAGCTCCTTACATGTGAAACCCGAAACTGGATGTCAGGTTCAGAATTTTGTTTGTTTGTTCCTCTATCATTTGATTTCTTAAAAAACTAATAGATGTTAAAAATAGCTGACAGGGCCTTACAGGCCCCAAGGTAATGTCACTGCCAGTCTAAGGTGGCCAGTGAAAGCTGAGAGAAACACAAGTGCTAATGCGTGCTCTGGTCGCAGCAGTTGCGTCTGACCTATTTTCGTCCGTTAGGCCGGAACCCCTTTCGGGTGTGTGTCTCATGTTCTAGCTTCCAGCTGGGAACGGCAGGGCCGCCACGAGTGAACTCCAGGTCCCAGCCCACCGCCGGGTCCTTTTGCACCTCCGAGTCTGCGGTCTCCTATTACAGCCCCAGCTCAGTTCCTGCCACCCAGAGTGGGGCAGAAACAGCAGAGCGGAATTATTATAAGATTTCTGGACGGCAGGTAATATGCTCACCTTAAAAGTGACCTTTTAAAAATAGTATCACATAAACAGATTACCTTCCAAGGAGTACAGTATGAAAAAAAAGGCAAAAAAAGAGTAACTTTACAGTGGAGAAACCTAACAAACACCATCTCTAGCCAGGCGATCAAGCTGAACACCGTCGTCAGCCCTGCCGGCACCATACACCTTCGGTGGGACGCGATGAGAGTGGCACTTCCCGTCTGTGGTCTTCTTCCCCAAAACACGTGACCTCAGTCCAATCATGAGAAGAAGAAAAAAAAGACAAAGCCCACCTGAGGGACATTCTACAAATACCTGTCCAGTACTGCTCAAAATTGTTAAAGTCATAAAGAACAAGGGACGTCTGAGAAATGGTCACAACCAAGAGGGGCCTAAGGAGACACGAGGACTAAGTGTTTGTGGTGTCCTGAAGGAGATGCTGTGACAGAAAAGGAAAGTAGGTAAAAACTGAAAAAATCTGAATAAAGTATGGACTTTAGATAATACTAGTACATCCACACTGGATTATTAATTGTGACCAATGTACCATGCTAATGTAAAAAGATAAAAATGGGGAAAACTAGTAAGGGTAGACCGAAACTCTCCTTAAAATAAATCTTCACAGTAATTCTAAAAGTCTGAAACTGTTCCAAAGTAAAAAGGTTATTTTTTACATTAATCACAATTAAGGTTTTTTAATATCACATAAAACAGTCAACAACATAAACATTAAAACCATTGGACAATAAAAAACTTGTAACTCTAACACATAGAAAAATTGCAATTAGGTGAAAAGACTTGTAAATATGACAAAAGATTAAAATATATATATCTTAAACATCATAAGTATATAAGAAAAACATTGAGAAAAAAATTAAACAGGGAAAAGACTATTCATAGAAATGGAAATGCAATGTACCAAACAAACAATAATAAATATTCTTAAAACTAAAACAATTAGGTATCATTTAAGTAGCGAAACTGTTTCAAATAATAGTGATAGTGATGCTACATTTTAAGCCATTCCACTTACACATATTGGTAGCCACATAAACTTACTTAAAAATACCTCTTTTGAAAACGCTATGGACTGAATTGTGCCCCCTTCAAAAAATTCACATTGAAGCCCTAACCCCCAAAGCGATGGTATCTGGAGACGAGGACTTCAGGAGATATTTAGGTTTAGATAAGATCCTGAGGATGGGCCCTTTGGATGGGATTAGCACCTTTCTAAGAGATACCGGAGAGCTAGTGTGTTTTCTCCCCATCTCTTTCCCTCTCTCCTAATATGAAGTCATTTAAAATCAATACAAAACTGTGTAGGCTTATAAAATTAAGTACAACCAAAAGCAAAAATCTACAATATGAGGTTAACCATGTAAGTAAATATGAGCAAGATGTACAGGAGTCTCCTGCTCTTTCCAAGTTCACCTTATGCTTCTTCACCTTTACAAAAGACCTACATTAGTACCTGTTTTCACTATGAAAAGAAAAAAAGGGGATTTTCACTTTTTTAAGAAAGGCAAAAAGTGAAAAAAGCATTCAGATTTGTTGTGCAGTAAGCCCTAACAGACAGCGTGCACTCTGAGCAGGTTCCTTTGCCAGGAACCACACTCAACAACTCAGCTTTACACTGCCGTTCTCTGAACTGTGTCTGTGAGCATCTGTGCTTCATCTCAACTTATTTTGTGCATTCCTGCTTATACTACATATATATCAGTATTATTTTAATGTTTAGTATATTTATATGTTATTTGGTATGATTATTTTTAAGGCCTGGGAATTCTCAAAATTTTTTCCACATACAATTCAAGGTCTGTCTGGAAAAAGGTGAGCCACGTTAATATAATGAGAATAGTTTGCACAATATCAATGTAACCTGACAGCTAAGGAGAGTGGACTGGCACACGCATGTATGAAAAATGATGACTTCACTGTACTTTTCAGTGGGAGCAGTAGACACCATGAGTGACTATGTGTACTGAGTGGCTGTCATGTTCAAAATTACTGAGCAAGTAGAGCAACGAATCTGCATCCAATTTTGCATTAAGCTTGAACATTCCTCTGCAGAAGCTATTTGGATGGTTCAGAAGGCCACAGCTATGGGCAACTGGTGATTGGCAGCTCAATCACAACAACATGCCCACCCATTCATCACGTCTCTTGCAGAGTATTTTTGGCAAAACATCACATCACCCAGGTGACTCAGCCCCTCTACAGCCCAGATTTGGTGCCCTGCAACTTCTGGCTTTTCACAAAACTAAAATCACCTTTGAAAAGCAAGAGATTTCAGACAATCAAGGAGATTCAGGAAAATACAACGGAGCAGCTGATAGCAACTGGGAGAACTATGAGGTCCCAAGGTGCCTACTCTGAAGGGGGCTGAGGCATCATTGTCCTATGTACAATGTTTCTTGTATTTTGTATGCTCTTCAATAAATGTCTCTATTTTTCATGGTACATAGCTGGATACTTTCTGGACGGGCCCCTTAAATTAATGGTAATTGCTTCCTCACTTTACACCTTTTTGACTTACAAAAGGTTCCATAGCACCACTCTACTTTCAGATTAATAGGGGGAACTTGTAAACAGTTAGCTCTAAACAAAATTTTATCTGCTGGAAAACTTCTTTTATTTTAAATTAATATTATAAGAAATAATACTTAAAAATATGATCGATAGTAACTTTAGGTAGATCCGTTCTTAGGCATAACCATATCCTAACTCTTGAATTACAGAAAAGTGGCTTCTTTCTCATAGTGGTCACTAATCTCAAAAAAATTTACATTCTCTATAAGAGACCATCAATTTTTATTTATTATGTTACTACTTACACAGAGATGGTTTCCAAGGCATCTTCAAAAATGTCCTGAGGGGGAACAAAAAATACAATGAGTTTCTCCAGAATCAAGAACTCTAAATGTAAACAAGAAAATGAGTGTGTGGGTGTGGGTGTGGGAGGGGGTGGGCGTGGGAGGACAGTTTTTGTGGGATGCAGTTGAATCACTCAAATCTCGTAATGAAATGTCTTTCAGAGAAGGCAAGCATATAAATTAAAGTGAGGTTTAATTTTTTAAAAGACGGGTAAAATACTTGGCTAGCAATCAAACTGGGTAATCGGAAAGAGTGTGACTTCTTTAACGGAGTTATGTTTTACTCCCCAGTTTTATTCATCCCAGAAGAAGAGTAAAACAAATAACAAGATTGCCCTGGCCTGTGTGGCTCAACTGGTTGGGCGTCATCCAGCAAACCAAATGGTTGCAGGTTCAATTCCTGGTTGGGGCACATGCCTTGGGTTGCAGGTTTGGCCCTCAGCTAAGGCACGTGCAAGGGGCAGCCAAGCCATGTTTCTCTCCCTCTCCCTCTCCCGCCCTTCCCCTCTCTCAAAAATCAATCAGGTCCTCAAGTAAGGGTAAAAATTTAAAAAAAAAAAATTACAGGATTTACCCAATTTAGTCTTCTTTTCTTCTGTGGCTAGCCAAGTTAGCATCCTGTGGACCTTTATTTCACATCTAGCTTCAATACCCTCCTAGCAAGTCTTCCTGTCACCAGCCTATCCTCCAGTTTAATCTGTAAATCTGTGCCACATAGGACAGCCCTTGAGGAACATGCCAGTGACCCATTCAAAAGCTACAAAAGGAGAAAAGCCCAAACCCAAATACACACACACATTTATATCCACTCACAAATCCACACATGCACCCCACACTCTTATACACTGAGACTCAGACACTGACCATCTCACACATAAATTACAATCATACACACACACACACACACACACACACACACACACACACACTCACAAATTCAAACATATGCAAAGCTCCCTCATAGCTGCAAAATCCAAATCCAGGCTCCTTATCCAGGTATCTGAGACCCACCCTAACCTTGCTGAATTGTCACAGTGTCCTCTCACGTCTCCTCCGCCTTCGACAGAGCCCAAGCACAGGGACTGCACTGGTCTATGCGTTCCCGTGCTCGGCATTCTTCATTCAGTTCCTCACACAACAGCCATAATTATTCTTTTCTTCTCTTTCTTTTCTTTTAATGAGCTCATACTGATACCATTAGTATGTGGCTAGAAAAGGAGAGCAAAGGGAGCTAGACACTGAGCTTAATAAACTGGGGAACATAAGCCCGTTTGCTTCACCAGGAAGATACAGCTTTTCACACTCCAGAGGAACACAGCACTGAGCTCCACCAAAGGGATTAACACTCCTGGCTTCCCCACCCCAGTACCAGACTGCCAGGTGGGAGCAGGGGAAGGAAGGTGCATTACAGGAGTCAAAAGGGTGCAGGGGATGGGCTGGACCAAAACAGTCTGTCAGTCTAGCCTGGGGAAAGAAGGGATTAGTTGGGAGGTAAGCCCACCCATGGCCCACAAAAGGCTGGGAAACTGATTCATCATTTTGAGAAAGCACCTGGTCCATCCCAAACCCAAGCTCCTGGTGATAACCCCAGGGGAACAAAGAACTCTCCCTCCTGCCCGCCTGGTGATGAGTTCACCCCAATCATTCAAGTGCTCCTTCGCCTGGGAGCACGTGACCATGTGGGTCTAACAGCTACTGGGTGCACAGCAGATGGCGTGGACTCCAAAAGAACTAAGACTCTCTCTTACTACACAGTAACGCACTCGCCCGTGTGCTCAAGTGTTCTCTCCACAGCCATCTGGCCTTGGCAGCTGCGTGGCCAGCAGCACATGGACTCCAGCACTGGAGCAGCCGGGAACAAGCTAAGCTACCTGGACACGGACTGAGATCGCTTAGCAGCTGCCTGCAGATTCCAAAGGACTAAGCTTTAGTAAGAAGCAAAAACTCTGAAAAAGAAAAAAAAAAGTAGCAAAAGCTCTGGCCACAGGCCTTTGTGTTGGCCCTACTGAAGGCACAGTTGGACTTCTTCCATGGCAAGAGAAAGGGAGATGGGCCAATGGAAACCCAGGGGGCAGCTTCCATTCCCACACAAATAAGCCATGCCACACACCGCAGTCTCCCACGGGTGGCTCCTTAGAATGCTTTCCTTGTGATCCCAAGAAAGAGCCTAGTTTCCACCAAGAGCTTTCCACCAATACCATTCTACTGCTCTACACCTCTCAAAGAGCTTTCCACCGCACTAAGAATACCCAAACTCCTTCCCGTGATCTAGGAAACCCTAAATGACCCTGCCCACCTCCCCACCCACCTGCCCCCTTCCTCACTCCACATCAGGCACAGGTTGGACCTTCTTTTCCTTGAACAAGGCAAACTCATCCACACCCCTCCAGTCACTCTCTCTTTCACAGAATGCTCTTCATGCAACTCTTCCCGGGGCTGACTCATTCTCATCCTTCTGTTTTCAGCTCAGAAAGCCACCTTCTCAAGGAGAATGGCTCTGATAACCCTAATTAAAATTACTAAAAATAGCAGTTTACTTAGTTTTTCATCATCTGATTTATTTCATTCATCATCTTATCATAATCTCTAATCGCCTTATTATTTGGCTACAGCCTGTCTCCATCAGGACACGTTCTTGTTTATTATGTTTACAGAAAACTTGCCAGGGGTTGGCAGAGAGGTGTTCAATAAATACACGTTCCCTAATGAATAATAAATTGAGTATGGGCTGTCAAGGCACTGATCATATCACCTTAATGAGAGCTATGATATAAACATGAGGAAACAGGGTTTCAGAACTTTTCCCTTATGTGGCCATTAATATTGAAGAATGTTTAAGTTACACCACACTCTGCATTTAGGCAGGACAGGAAAAAGTTGTATAAATACTAAAAAAAATAATAACAACAACATTACAAGTAGTGGCAGAACTGAGTTTAGAATTGGGGATCCCTGATCTGTTAACCTACATTAATGCTGTGCTCTGCAAGGGAGGGAGGTAGAGGCAGCAGCAATTCCATCTTATACTCCCTCTCCTGGAGCAGCATCAGAAACTCATATACTAGCTACTGGCAGAAATATGAGCTAGTGCTGAAGTAAAATATCGTAAGCCAAAAGTTAGAAAACGCTTCTCTGGCCTTTTTAAAAATTTCTAACTAGGAAAAGGCTCCTTCCTCCAAATCTAAAGCCTCAAGAGGCTCTTGATATCACAGCTTTTGCCATACGGAATCACAAGTCAATGTCCCATGGGCCAGCACACAGGCTATCATGCAAGGAGGTTGTGGAGCAGGGCGGAGTCTGCTGCAGAAACCCCAGTCCACCTGTAGCAGTCAGTCTCCTGTGCCAGACACCAGCTCCCAGTCCCTCTGGCATCGCTGTTAACCCCACCTGGGCTAGCCTTTACTGAGCACGGAGAAAGGTGGAGAGCGGGCTCCTGGAAGGCTCCTGAGCATCTGCCCCCTCCTCACAAACCTCAACCCAGAGCAGCGCACTCAGCAGGCGCTGAAATGCTGAGTGGGTTTCAGAAAGAACAACTTGGAAGTCAGCTCTCCATTTAAAAGAATAGGCTGATACTTAACACTTAAATAAGAAATAATCCCATCACAACCCTCAGAAAAAGAAAAAGAACATCAAGAAATCATCTTTAATTAAGTAACTTCTCTCCATTTTTTCATAAGCAGAGAGGGTTCTCTAAATAAAGCACACTATACAATGTGGTGACCATAGCTAACAATGCTGCATTGTATATTTAAAAGTTACTGAGATTAGATCTTAAAAGTTCTCACCAGAAAAGAAAAAAAAAAAACCCTAAATATGGGAGGTGATGGATGTGTTAACTCTATCATGCTAATCACTTTGAAATAATACGTATCTCAAATCATGGTGTTGTACACCTTTAATTTATACAATGTTTTATGTTAATTACCTCAATAAAGCTGGGAAATATTTTAAGTAAAAAATGTTAATATCTATATTTTCTACTTAGATGAAAATTAAATATACTCCCCCCATTAATAATGCAAAAACTCCACGGCGCTCCAGGACATTATTGTAACAAACTGGAGATGAGGACGACAGAAACTGTCGGGGGAGCAGAGGGAGGGAAGGAACTTTGTCTATAAAGGCCAAAGGTGAAACTGTTTTTCATTTTAAGAAAAGGAAAGGTAAAGAGCAGAGCTAAAATATGCCAGGAACTTTACAAAAGTTATCTCATTTGTTCCTCCCAATTTACAGCAAGTAAATCTAGTCATAATTTACCTGCCCAATATTACAAAGCTGCTAAAGAATTAGAATTTCCTCAACTCCAAAGTAGTTTTTAAATGCTAATGAAACGACCTAATACTTGGATCTGAGGCAGTCAGCAGGAGCCGGTTGGAGGCTGGGATTGGAGAGGAGTGGGCATGTTGCAACATTGTTGGAACAGGCCCTCCCAAGGATTATTTCATTCTCTAGGAGAATGTACTTGTGTTTGCCTTTGCTGTTTACTATCCGATTAGAACCCAGACACAGTGAGTTTACATGTTAATGGTTATAGTTATATTGCCCTATAGAACTATCCAGTTTTTTTGTATAGCCTAGCAATCTTAATCTTTCTTCCCCCCTACCCCCTAGGCCTACAAATACCCAGTTCCTACAAATACCCAGTTCCTCAAATACCCTTTGGGGTTTGGTGGGGGGCGCGGGGTGGGGGGGTTAATTTATTTATTTATTGAGTAGGGAAAGGAGGGAGGGAGAGAAACATCAATGTGTGGTCGCCTCTCACACGCCCCCTACTGGGGACCTGGCCTGCAACCCAGGTCTGTGCCTGTGCCCTAGAATGGGAATCGAACCGGCAACCCTTTGGTTCACAAGCCGGCACTCAATCCACTGAGCCACACCAGCCAGGGCTCAAATACCCTCTGAATCAGTTTACCATCTCACCGGTTTCCACTTTGATGAACTATTATTTAATAAAATCTCGGCATGTTCATTTTATATCTTTATCAGAGCCATATTT